GCACCCGCCGCACTAGTACTAACCACTGGCGACATTTGTTTGATGATGGCAAAAGCGGCATTAAAGCTGTATCGCCCCAAGGAAGGAGAGGTCGGTAGCGCTTTTTTTCCAAAGCTGTTATGAAAAAAGTTTTTTGAAGGATACACAAGTTTTCTACCAAAACATGCGCGCCCTATTTACTTCGAATGGTGGTCTCGCAGTTCTTTTCTTCCACCACCCTAGTATATTTGACATCTCAACAGCAACTTGCGGGTTATGGTTCTTTATCATCACGTTCTGTTATTCTTTGGGTGAACACTATTATAGTTCCCAAGATAGTGTGACTCAATCAACAATGTTTTAGGAATATGCTTTTTTGCGCTAGAAGCTTTGAACGTTTATCACGTGATAGTGGCAGAAAGAAGAAACGTTTGGGGAAGTGCCTTAACAGCAACCATCCTACCTATTCACTCAATCTCAGTAAGCTGACAAGAACATGCTTATAGCTGAATATTTCATTGCTATTTCAGGTTCAATCTTCCATCGTTGCTCTGTTAGCGGTAGTAGTGCTTATTATATCCGCAGCTTCTCAAAAAGGCAAAGTACGTAATATAGACTTCGCGTAAACAAGTGAACATCAATGCTCAAACCTAGATTACAACATTGTGGAGCTGTGTAGGTCATTTTACCATCGACAGTTGATATTTGGCTGTTATTGGTCCTCTTCAATATTTCTATCGCTATTACATCAACCTTTCTTGCATATTCTGGATGGATCATTTTGAAACACTTGTCCCAGTATCAGCAGAAAACGGCCACAATTTTGAAGGACCGAACGCTACACGAAAAAAATAACACCAACAAAGTATGCTATCACATCACTTTTGAGAGCAGTATAGCACTCATTTGTTCATCTGTTCAGTGGATTTTCAGTGTTACCGTGATGTGATTTTCGTTGTTGTCGGTCCTTGGCTACTTTTAGGGACTTGGTTGACAACTGCACTGTCATCAGATTGGACAACCAATCGTTCAGTGAGCATGTTCGTTTTTGTAGTTCTCTATCAAAATTTGGCTCTTCGAATCAGGCAAATCTGGACATACGGGTTTCTGATGTGAAAAATAATTTTGGGGCCCTAAAATGGTTAAATCACAGTTGAGATATTTGCTTCCAAACTGGACCTCGAAAAATCGTATTCGCATGGATTCACGGCGCGACACGCCTAGGTCCTCGCGCGAATCTGATGTGTCGCGCCATGAATCCATGCGAATACGATCCCGGGTTCCAGTTTGGAGGCGAATTTCTCAACTGTGAGCTCACCATTTGAACTGCCGCTTGGGCAGTGTTTTAGTCAGGGTCCCAAAATCACTTTTCACCCAGAACTCCGTATGTCCAGATTTGCCTGGACGTTGCCTTTAAATTCCAATGACCTTGCGACCCCCCCCCCCCCACCCTCCCCTTCCCCTTTGCTCTTTACACCCAAAACAATATTCACCCTGCCTCTTGTGCCACCTTTGCCGTGTTCTAAGCAGAAGAAGCTTCAGAATAATAAATTAGATTAAAACAGCTATGAGTTAGCAAGAAAATGTGCGAAAACAATTTGACCGTAAAAATGCGAAGAACGGAGGGTAAGGAAGGGTCACCCAAAGAAGAGCTGGCTGTGGAAGGTAGCAAAGCTAGAAAAAAAATTTAGGAAAACAAGCCTGTTCCTGAAACCACATTTTTTTAAAGAAGAGTGTTGCGGCTCGGTGTGCTCAGCACCCCCTGCCCTAGTGCTCGTCCGCCTGACAACTCAACTCCAAACTCCAGGATGTTCCACCTCTGCGCTGGTTGCGCATCACCTAGCGCGTCCGCTCAACGCCTACACCTTATACTTGGGTCCGAATCGAATAGAAATTCGATCATTCGAATAAAACATTCGAATATATTCGTATTCGAAATTCGATATTCGGAGTTCTTCCATTTTCGAACAATATTCGAAACTCGAATAATTGAGAGAACGGGGTTTCGAATAAAATTCGAAACTCGAATAATCAAAAAACAGGGTTTCGAATAAAATTCGAAAACTCGAATAATCAAAAAACAAGATTTCGAATATTATTCGAAAACTCGAATAATCAAAAAACGGGGTTTCGAATAGATTTTATTCGAATGTTTTATTCGAATGTTTATTCGAAATCGTATTCGAATGTACTCCGAATTCAGATTATTCGACTTTGTTGCAGAGCCAACTGCTAAGTATCAAGCTCACTTCGTCCGCGTTTTTTTTTTCGCAAAACTCGGTAATGCATCTTTTGCAACCGGTATGCTTTTGAACTGTATGGAAAGTCGCATTCTTCCGACTGCTTACGACAGTAAAAAAATTACATATGGATTTTAATTGATGATCAATGAGATTGTTCGCACTGCTATTGGCACCAAATCAGCAAAGAAGATATCAAATTCAAGCGAAATGGCTGTTCTTCCTTCTTTGCATGCTCGTGCTTGCGGTACGCAAAGCCCACAGTAGTGAGCACTCTTGCTCGCATAAATTATTGCAAAACAACCTATTCGTTACTTTGGAGTTTTTTGCGAATTGGTGACTGAGTAAAGGACATCGGTGGTGCAGGATTAGACAGTTTAGATCGCCGTACGCGATTTGCCAGTTACGAGATGTCTTCAAATGTAACGCCAGCTTACCACAAATGCTTAGCGTGTACAACATACTAAAATGATAAATGCCCTGCATTCTGTACTTTCAGAATAGGTTTTGGACGACTGAGTATTGCCATACCACGTCGCCACTGAAATGTCTGCAGTATGCCCGGGGTTATAGGGACATTCGTGCTCGCTTCGCGGAGGAAACCACATGCCTTCGTCCACGACTAGCTTATACCACGCAAGACGAAAGTCTCCGATGAACAGCAAAATTTTGAGCTACGTGGTTGGGAGTTGGTACAAGGGGGTAAGTGAGGGTGCTGATTATGGATAAAAATTTACTTTATCGATTTTATCGATTTTTGGAAAATCTTGAGCTACGAGGCTGCGAGTTGGTACAAAGGGGTAAGTGAGGGTGCTGATTAAAACCGAAATCTATTTTATTGGTTTCAGCAATTTTTGGAAAATTTTGAGCTAGGAGTTGGTATAGGGGATACTAGTGGGCTGATTATGATTGGATCGGCTTTAGCCAGATATGTCGGCAAGTTTGAGATGTGATTGCTTTAGTTATTCGATAAATCATTCGAATATTTATTCGAAATTCGACTTCCAATGTTCGAATATATTCGATATTCATTCATTCGATATTTTTGATTTTCCGAATTTATTTGAAATTCATTCATTCGATATTTTTGATTTTCCGAATTTATTCGAAATTCATTCATTCGATATTTTTGATTTTCCGAATTTATTCGATATTCGTTTATTCGAGATTTTTTATTTTCGAATTTATTCGATATTCATTCATTCGATGAAAAATTATCGAATTACCCAAGTATACTACACCTCTACCCGTACAAATGAACAATCACAAGCGCGACTAGATCAAATCACATTTACTAAAACAAAAAAACATAATACAAACACCTAAACTACTAACTACCACTACAAGAGAAAGAAATAGGCACGGGACGAGCCGCCTCGTCCCGTGCTGCCGATGCTCCGAGAAGATCATCTCCAACATGTAGTTCCGGGTCCTCCGCTGGGTCATCCGCAAGCCCCTGGCCCATACGGGACAGCGTGACCCCTCTCCACTCCAGCAATCCTTTCTTTCTGCGCGATAAACCGCAGTACTAAGCTGCGCGTTTGTAAACACAAGAAGATCGACAAGGGCTCAACCTCGAAATCGATGATCATCTGCGGGAGCTACTGGAGGCGCTGCCAGCATGGTAATATCATCAAACGATCGATAGCGATCGAAACTTGAAGAGGCGTAGACCGCAGCCTGCGCGCCCTTATATACCATGTGACTTCGCAACGCGCCCAGTAGGGGAGAGGTCTTGGCGCGAAATTGATAGCGCGCCAATTAACGCGATAGCCAGCGCTCTCGGCCTCCTGTTTCGAGGAGTGGCTTGCATCGTGCGAGCCGCGACAAAGGGTGCATTCTGAGAATTGAACATGTATTCAGAGATAACATAATAAAGGTCTACTCTTGAAAGGAAGGGCGTACTTTGCGAAGAGTTATCACAACCGCGAATGAATTTTTGGGGAAACTAGCTTCAATGAAGATCATAGCTTTTTGTTTAGACAGCGTACAATAGTGAATTCTTCGAAAACTTCTATGCTGCCACAGTTTTGCTTCATTTTGTATGCAACACCTATATTCCACTAGATTTAGCAAATATAACCAGCTTTCAGTAAATTGTTTTTGAGGCATTACAATCTCACAAGGAAAGTAAGGTTGGTCGAAAAGGCCTTATAAAATGAGGTGTATACTGCTTTTTAGAGCTTGAAACGCTGATTGCAAATTTACCTTTGCCATCTGCTGCGAGCTTCTGGGCGAGGAGTTATGAAGGTTTTTGTGAGTAAAAATTTGAATGCTTGAGTAGGCTAAAATCACTCGTAACATTTTTTATAGAGCTCAATTGGTAGTCAGGTCACTCGGTGCAACAAATATTCTTGATTTAAATATATCAATTAGCTGCTGCCTCATTTAAACATAGTGAAAAGATGATACGACTGATTTTACCTTAGTTTTTAGTCAGGTTTTTACTCACAAAAACCTTCATAACTCCTCGCCCAGAAGCCCTCAGCAGACATTTCAAGCACTACAAGACATATACAAGTCATTCCAAAAGGCCACTTCGACCAACCTTCCTTCCCTTGTTCAGCATAGTGGTTGAAAGTTTCAAAGCTCCGAATTGTGGGCTGCGCGCGAGCAATCAGTCATTTTTTTGGCATTTCGTACAATCTTTTTAGATTAGCAGATTTTCTTGCCCTGCTTTATACCTCCTCCAACTTATTACAATCAATATTCACTACACCGTCTGTAAGACTGATTTTTTATTACGCTTTTTTTGGCAATACAAGCATATCATTACTTAAGATGTACAGTACATTGTTGCAATACTCGATCCGTTTCCTTCCTCGTAAACTAGCACCCACTCGCAATGCTGTAACACTTTGGAAGAGATCAGAGATAGTACAACGGAGAAGTGATGGCTCGCATCGGGGACAGGAACAGATACAGAGACGTGGATACCCTTGGTCGGCTTCTTCACAGGTGTGCTCAGTTACTGCTAATTTGTAGATGTTGATTGCTATGAACTAGTGGACGCTTAAATTGCTTAATTAACCTTCACTCGAGTTGAATTTACCAGTGCCCACTGCAGTCTTGGTAAATCTTATGCTCAGTCTATGCATTTTCAAACATGCCAAACAAAAATTTGACGCTTTATCACTTAAAGAATGTCTGCTTTCCTTCAATTTGAATTGCAGCAGCTTACATAGAAATAGTAAAATGTGATTTGTGACTTTGTCGATAGGCTTTGTTAACAACTCGTATATGGAGTATTTAGTAGTCCCTAGTAAACCATATAGCTTGAAATTGCAAACATTAATTAGGAAAGGAAACTGGAGATCGCATCTCAATATGCAATTATTCAGTTCTGCACGCATTGCTCGTTCAGTTAATTATTGTTGACATACCTGCTAGCAAACATGAGCTTTTATGTATTATAGTAGATGTGTTTAGTGGACAATAGATTAACTTTTTACTTTGAGGACTACATTCCAATTATCATTAGAAGCCATCTGAGGGGCAGATGGATGAAAGAATATGCAAAAATCAAAGTGAAGAAAAATTGTAGCAGACTAGATGCCTTGTATGTATGTACGTTTTTAAAGTTACTCCCTTCTATGTAGTAGGTGATAACCATCTTTCAGGCAATCACACAATATGTATAATTGGAAAATTGGAAATCTGCAAAGAAAAACTACGCAAGCAGCTGAGGTTGGTTACAGACTCTGTATGCTTGTTCACCATCAACTCGTGCTTTAGCATTGCAAAAATGTTTTGCAGTTTTGTCCTCGTGTAGTGTAGTACTAAGGCACCAAACTTGGGGACCAGTTCTATAAAAAAAACTTGTCTTTTAAAAGACAAAAATTATATAAGAAGAAGTCGCTCCTTTGTTTTTTGCTGTAGTCTGGGATATGTATAACCAGACTTACAAATTTCACTGTCGAACTTAAACACATAATGTAACTTTGACTGTGATAGATGTGCATTATGTTTTCTTTTGCAAAACCATTACCATTTAGTTTTTTATTCGTGCAGTGGATGGCGAAGATCTATAGAAAGGATCCACAGCCGGATCCAAGACGACTCAATCCGGTAGAATCCGAGGTACAGTAGCATTTTATCATCTTTGCTGATATGATTACTTTTGAAAAAGCGAATACATATGAGACGGAAAAATTTTATCATTAATTTTGATAGTATCAGTTATAAGCAAAAAAGTACCGAGATATAGGATTTTCCATCTCCTATAGAGGAAGGAGGCTGCTGTAAATGACTGTTATTCGAGTTTTATACTAGATTGTTTCGAAAATGATCTCACTTGCTTTTATCAGGCCCCACATTTCAGGAACAGAGATTTTACGAAAATTTCGGCAGCATTTGATAAAGCATTCAATCCTTTTCTAAAAGATTGTTCATATTGCAGTTCAGCCAGCGAGCTCTCAAATCATTATCAAAAACAATACCCATGGTTTGTGCAATAGTGAAGTTTTGATACTTTCCTAAATTTTTATACTAACTTCAAAAAAGCCCAAGCATTGATAGAGCAGCTGCAAAATACACGACATTCTTTCTTTTTTAAGGCTTGCTTTCGATTTTTGTACCCTGGGCCTGCTCTATCCACATGTTTCTTAAAGGCAGTGGTCCATCTTCGACCCAAAGTTTTTCGCCTACCTGGGCTAATTCGATGTGCTGATTTCGAAAATACACCTTGAAGAGCACGAAAGTGGTGAAAACCAGCATTTTTCAAGGGTCTTCATTTTGAATTTGGCCGAGTGAACCTCCGCGTCATGGTTAGAGACGTAGAGTCGTCGCAGGACCCTCATGTTTATAACATTGCGGCATGCCGCCTCTGACGGTGGCTGGAGGACCGCAAGCTCGTTCGAGCGCGTGAAAGAATGGTTTTCGCGCAGGGTTTAGGGGCAGTTTTCTAGGCAGGCACAGCATGTAGTGCGCTCGGACTTTCTCTGTTATGATGTTTGAGATGCAAGCAACCTTCCATAAAATTTCGGGATGTTTGGTTTTGCCTAGCCACTGCCTTCAAGCTTCATCGGGGTAGGTATAAAGTTTATAGTGTACTTCTGTTATCCCATTTTTCCAAGGAAGGATATTGCTTTTTTCCTTGTACATATTGGTCCCAAATTCACAAGAAGGGGTGTCAACCTTCTGCCACGTGTAAGAAAAATTTGACATGTTTTCTACATGTTTCAGAGATTTTCCCAAGGTTTTGTTTTGCACCCTAACGACGTTAATTCAATGTGTACCCTAATTTCACGCGTACAAGGCGCACCTTTTTCGATTTTTCAAACGTGCCGCTCAGCCGCCTCGTTGTGTTTTGGTAAACGAGACTTGTGCCGCACGATACTTTCAGGCAATATGCAGCGTTGTATATAGTTTTTTGATAGCGAAGTCCTTTGCCGTGTTTGGGCTAGTCGATTTTCGAAAAAAAATCCCCCGCCCTCGTATGCGTGAAATTAGGGTATTTAAGTTGATAATGATCTTATTTTCAAGTAAAGGATTAAATAAATGGAACACTTATAATAATAATAACGTCATCCTGTTATCATTGAGCAGACTAGATTTGCCCAGAAAGGAGAACTGCGCTAGGATTCCATTATTTAAGCGGAGAAACAAGCAGCATAGAGACACCGCAGCCATCATTTATAGTCTGTCACGACTAAATTCGCATGGCGGAAAGTTTGAAGAGGAAGACAAGTTTGATTTGTTGCTGAAAGCAATAAAGATGTTCTGCGATTCTGTTCTAGACAGTGTTGCTTGTATAGAAAACAGATGAAAGGTTTTAGTTTGTCACAAACGCTTTTTTACATCACCGGAAATAATTTCGAAAAAAAACAAGTCAGAATGGACTGAAAAGTGTCAAATTTTTCCTGACACGTGGCGGAGGCAGTCTTCGTAGAATCTACAAAAATCATTCTTTGATTAAAGAACGTATGTTATGAGAGCCTTTTGAAAAAATGGGTCCGAATAACGGAAAAGTACCGATAGAATAAAGGTGATCGATCATGACAAAAAGAATGGGTCATAGATTTTGGGATATTTTAGAGCTCCTTGGTTGACTTCAAGACGGCTTAACACGTTGACGATAGTGCCGCGCAATGGTGCGCGGCAGGCAGTCTGTCCCTGTGGACGACGCCGCGCAATGGTGCGCGGCGGCCTTAAATTTAATACTATCTGTCCAATCCTCTCAGTTTTCGTTCATATAATCAACATAGGCTCAGATGTATTTCATGCATTAGCCCCGCCCCTTTTGGAAAACTCCGCCCACTCCTACGCCTCTCACAAGGACCCTTTTTTGTCTATAAAAAGCATGGATGAGGCTGTAGGTGAACGCAAAGACCTCAAGCAACTTTTAGAAAGGCCCCGCCCACCGTCAGGCAAACCCCGCCCCCTAAGTGGCAAGCCCCGCCCACTTTTCAAAAGTGGCGGAAATCGCATAAATACTTGAAATTTGGGCAATTTCCGACATTTTTGGTCGAGTGGGCGGAGCTTGCCAGAGGGGGCGGGGCTTGCACAATTTGTACTTCGTGCATGGGTGCATGCATAGATACATGGGCCACGCGTAGGGATGCATGGAAAGGTCTCGTCCACAGGGACAAACCTCAAAAAATGGCTCGTCGTCAACGTGTTAAAAAACTCAAAGAACATGAAAAATTGCATCACTAACAGCTTTTATGAATTTTTGATTCCATGATGTTCTTGTCGCTAATAGAGAGCGAAATTATTCTCGGAACGACCTAAAATATAGTCAGCTCTAATCCTGTTTTTAGGCCTATAAATCATTTATGTTAAGTATTTGGAAAGGCTTTGTTTTGAATATGAAAACTAACAGTCCTCTTGGCAGGAGTAGAGTGCAAAAATATTAGCAATTTTGTTCCCAGCCGCACCAACCTTTTTTTTCAAAATTGTGGAAAACATGTTTTAATGTTTTCTTTTTTTTTGATTTCGGCAACTGTCAAGAAACTAATGTGGATTGCGGTCTTTTCCTTTTCATTTTTCCCTGTAGAAGGTAAGCCTTCTAAATCTTTGTTTGTTGACCCAGTAGAGCAAGCAGCCGAAGAACAACTCGACCATAAGGTGCAGGCTTGCAGGATTGAAAGCACCGAATCAATTATAAGAAGCTAGGGATATACGAAGCTTTTGAACAGAATGTTTCATTTTAGAATGTGTCTGAACCCTAGCTGATTGCTCCACCTAGGGTTTTTGATCGCATCACTGCTAGGTACACTCAAGATTGCGCCAAGCGAAATGCACGGGTATAATGTGAACGACTTTAATCAAATTTTTAGATGGTATTTATTTCTACCAAGGGGCTTATGCTCCTTCACAATGTGCGTATACTTTGGCAATAATGCATAAGCTGTCAAAAAAGATTATAAAATTATCAGGTTTCGTTTAGCTTCAACGGCTGCTCGCGCACTATCGCGATGTACGCAGCAGATCGAAAGTTTTGAGATTGCCCATCATACATCAATATAGTGAAGAAGATCCTTACGTCGTAAGTTTAGTTCAAATAACATCTTTTCATGATACCAGCTCTACGTTTGAATGATTGCAGAGAGCTTTGGAGAATTATCTAAAAATGTTTCAAAGCGACGAACCATTCCAATTTTGCCATCTCGCCATGCCGAACGACTTTGGAAATATCATTAAGCTAAAGTTCTTGCGAACACCAATTTTCACAGATGAACAGGTGAATCATTACCTTGTCGAAGAAGTGTTGCATTTGATTGAACGTCGCCAAGAGTAGGCAGAAACTCAAGGGTAGTGTCCGGGAGAATTTTTAACTTTCATGATTTCCCAACATGTATTCTGCTATACACTTGTTGCTCCTGTTGCGGCTCGCTGGGCTCTGCGCCACTTCGCCTAGCGCTCGACTGCCATGCATCTCAGCCCTCGACCCCAAGGGACGCCCGCTGTTACGGGTGAGCTCTTGCCCACCACGGCGCGTTACGCCTACCCAAAACATACAAACATAAATGCATATAAATTCACTAAACTAAAATATACTAAAACGCACAATACAAAAATCATAGCAAAGTACCTACCACGGGGAGAGAGTTAAGCTCCCCCGAGCTACCGATGGGCCATCAACTCACTCACACTCTCTCCCTAGCACACTCTCACACTCTCCCGACTTTCATGGAAGCTACCCACAGGCCGGCCGCGCGTGCCACCCAGGCAGCAGCGATCGGCAAAAACACTAACCCCGTGTTAACCAACGACATCTAACCGAGCTCCTAACAAGTCATGCGCGTCCACGGGCTTTGAGATGTTCATCGTCCTGGAGTTCTATCCTTGCGCGTCCATCCAAACATTCCATCGACGGTCCATACAATCGCGCAAGGCACGGGGACGTAGGCACATCGGTGATATCGTGGAAACCCAACCAATCGATAATACAAGCGGCACGACGACAGTAGTAAGACGAAAGAGAATAGAGAGCCGCAATGACGCGCGTACGCGTTATTTATAGCGGTGGCTGGGAGCGTGCTTACGTGGATGTCCGGAAACGAACAAGTTAGCCGCCGTAAAGCGCGGGGACCGTGCTCACAATCAAACTGCGCGGCAACACGGTGCTCCCGGCCACATGCTTCGAGGAGCAGTCGATCGCGAGCCGCGACAGCTCCAAAATTGATGCACATTTTGCAAGACATTTCTGAGACGAAATCTTTTCGAAGATTTTACTTTTAGCCAAATATATCTTTTGGAACCTTTTTACCAAAATCGAATCTTTTGCCAGGTGGTCTAGCAATGAATGTATAGAAAAATTTAGAATTAGATAAGCAGTCGCAGCGGTGTAGTTCGTCACACAACTTCTTACTAAAGTTTCAAAAGAATGAAAAGAAAAAGAGCTAGTGTAAAGAAAACAGTATCTCTAATCGTATTTGTATGCGTTTACGAATCCAAAGTCGTATGATAGTGAACTGAATCATACGTTAACAATGATCCTACAAAGCGTCATAGGTAACGTGAAAGAAAAATGTGCATCAGCTTGAAGGCAGCGTTCATCCAAAATTCTGCCTGCCATGTTTTTATTCTGGAGCCTTTCCGTGCCCCGGTTACAGTTATGATGTTTAAATTGTCCAAAACCCCAAAACCCGTTTCCTGGGCCCCTGTTTTGAGGGTGCGGACAGCTTTCAGCACATGGGTGCGCGGAGCTTGATAGCACTTCGACTGTTCCAAGCCCATTTCCGTTCAAAAACAACATTAGGCGGCCGGACCAACGCAGATGCCTCTCTCCTGCTGCCTACATTCAAAATCGGCACTAATAGTAGAAGGTTAGATTTAGCCTGGACACTGCCTCCAAGGTGTTTATTGGCATTTCTTGTCTTTCAAATCCCCTAGGCATTCTTGTCCATAGTTGGTTCACTGCACACAGCTCAAAAATCTCACCTCTAGCGAGCGAACATACTACCCTAAGTACTTTGTTTTTTCCTGAATGCACGGCTGACTTCAAGTAAAGTCCAAGGAAGTAACAATTTTATGGACAATTCTTCTTTAGAAGTGACGAAAATGCTTGCAATTTGGATGACTATGAAAAATTTCGGAAAAAAGGAGCTGAGCATTAGATTTATTGAACAAAGCCTTTTTTGTAACTTGCTGGTGAAAACATGGATACTAAAGCATTTAGAACAGTTATAATGTTTTGAATCGAACTCGGCCCTGACTTATGTAGTAGGTTGCAAAGAAAAGAATGTCGTTTTTGAAGCAACACAATAAGACGATGAAAATATGTGGGGAGCCGTTCGATAGGGCAAACAAAGCTCTACAAGATGACCTGCGAACATTGGCAGAAATCGTGATTTACTCAATGTTTAGAGCCAGAACACAAGAGCAACTCATGATGCCAAAAATCAGGTTTTAGCCGAAAAAATCCTATAAATCCTTCACTTGCTTCTGCGTGTAACACACACAAGCAGTTATCCGTAGGTGCACTTACTGTATTTTTATGACGTTCAGAAGTCAACAAAAAATTGAAAATGGAAAATGTCAAACTCCGCCCTTAATAGCCGTGGGCTTCTTCCATATATGCCGTTGTATACTATAAAACTTCGAAACTCTAAACCATGAAACTTTGCCCTTGGATATGTCTTGGTTCTTGAGAAATATCAATTTTAGCGGAAAAAGAAAAATGCAACATTCTTTTCTTTCCAACCTAGTAGTTTTACATGTATGCTGATTGAGGGCAGCACCCAAAATGGCAAAGGCTGTCGTTATGGTTAAAATTTCTTCAAACGAAGAAGATCATAGATTAGCTGTAAATAAAAAAGGTCTTGTGTCCGCTTGTCCTCGACGTCAGTAAATTGTAACAAGAGCCTACCACATGTACCTTACTCTTACAGATCATGTTGGAGGAATTTGCAAGAGAAGAGCAAAGTGAGGGTCGCAGGTATCATTTGTCTGTTTGCTTTTTCATAAGCTTGAGGATGTTCTGATTGATTTAATGCAGAAAATGCGGCACGTACCTCTCTCAAAATGACTTTACAACGGAATTTATTCAATACTTTTGTTCAGCTAACTAAGCTCTGGAACCTAGTTGTTGTTATGCCAAACCCATGGCAAACATTTTATTGCGATAAAAAACTATTTTTAAAAGTTGTGATAATGTTCGAGTATTGCTCATTGGATGATTCCGACGAACTTCATCTTTAGTAGCAGTGTGTTAGGTTTCAATTTTTAACAGCCTTATTCGACATTCTTTTGTTCCCTACTGAGACTCTCCCGCGAAGAAATAATTGCGATTCGGGAGGAGGAACATCAGTGATTGACATAGTGGATCAGCACTGCGTGGGATTAAAATAAACAAATTCAGTGTCAAAAAAGACTCGGAAAAACCGACATGACCCGCTTAAGTGACCACAACTGCTACATCTTATTCAAAATGTTTCTTTTATTTGACTTGCGCTCAGTTTTCTGATAAAGACTAAGGTAGGAGTAATTTGAAAGGAGAACAACGCAGCTGTGAAACGAGAGCGTAAGGAAACTGTATCGACTGTTTCGAAAATTCAAATTATTTTCTGCGCAAACATTCATGCCACTTTTTCTAAGACTATGGATCTTTCATTCAGAAATAATCAGCTGCAGAGGTTTGATCCGCGGTGGATGTTCACGGTAAGAGAGAGAAGGATGTTGGAGTTGCAGGTCGTTGATCATAAGAATTTCGCAGTTGATTGAGTTTGTTTAGAAAATCAGTGGGACAGTCTAGGAGAAGGCCAAGCAGAGCAATGACTTCGTGGAACAGTCAAAATCGCTCATGTTCGGCTGAAATTGGCGGCATCACCAAGCAAACACAAAAAATAGAAACGCCGTATTCAAACCAATAGTTCTTGTACAGTTAATGATCTACGTAACATGCAATAACTGCAAATATGTGAATTAATGTTTACACTTTGCGCAGTTTGTCGAGTACCGAATTGCATCGTTTATTAAGTTTGATGAAGGCCGCCCTTGTTCTGCTAGTTCGAAATCATCACTCGGAAGTTAGTTCATTTGGAAGCTTTTCGTATTGAAGACGTTTTTGCAGTTAGTAGGTTTCTCCTATCAAGCTGAAAAGTTAGGCTGATGCAACGCTATTCATTTTTTTTCTTTAAATAAACACTGTTTCAAAAACGTGGAGGGCAAAGGTATGAGAGCAAGTCATTTTCAATCATTTTTATCCAACGAAAATGTGATGAAAATTTGCTGGGGGTACCCCAAAATGTAGTTGTAGTCTTTGTTAATAGGATGCAAAGAAATTCGGTTGCGAATATAATGGGTTGGTCATAAAATCATGGAGTGTTTTTAGCTTTGGTATGATTTCAAGCAAATGATTGGTTGTGGTAAGACTTACAAATGGAAAAGCGATTTTCTTGAATTTCGAAAAAGTCTCGAAAGTAAAACTACCTTTTTTCCTTCCCGAAGGAGAAAAGGTAGTTTTACCTTTGAGACTTTTTCGAAATGGAGGACTTTAACTTTACTTAGAGACAAAATTTGCCCCTTTCTACTGCTAACTTCACTGAAATTATCTAAGGGGAGTGCCAGAGGATGCTGCTTGATTTTCTATCGTTCGAATACACGCACTTTTTTACGGAAGAATGACATTTTGCTATTAGTAGTGACCAGCTGCTACAATACCGCTCACATTTTTTGAAAAAAAGACGCGAATGTATGGACATGTATGGACATGTACGGACATGTCCATACATGTATGGACATGTCCGTACATGTATGGACATGTCCGTACATGTCCGTACATGTCCATACATGTATGGACATGTCCATACATCAGCGTCGCGTGGCCATATCTCGCTTCAGAGTGGACGAATTCTGAATCCAAGGCCACCGTTCGATTCAGCTCGGCGCGGAGAATTTTCTGATATATTGGAAGTGGGGGTACGATGTTTTCGATATTCCGTTTCCAGTTTTTTCAATTTGTTCTGCGGAGGTCCTTTCGCGAATATGTGAAGCAACGCCTACCCAACATAGAAGACTTTGCTAAGTACTATTCGATAATACTGTTCTTGCAAATTATTGTGCGCTAAAAAATAGGCTTAGAGTTCTTTCCAAAGGAGGTGAAAGCGTTGGTGAATTTTGGAAAAATCGCGCGTTTCTAAATTCTACTCGCCATAACTTCCTTCGGAATAAGTATATTTTGAATCCGAAAACTGCGCCTTGCTCAGCTCATCAAGTCGAATCTTCCTATATACAGCATGTCCTTGGTATTTCGATTTCAGTATTCTTGAATCTTTCTGAGGACGTCTTTTCGCG